AATGATTGCACCTGAAACACTGAGACTATATATTTCTCACACCTCTGCTTGCTTTATGCTCGCGTAGCTTTAGGCTTGAGTAGCATTTTGAATCAAATATTGGACGGACTTCAAAAAGCTTACTAATTGAGGAGGGTCAGGCACAAAGAAAATAACTGAAAAATTTCTTACAGATGGTTGGAAGAGATATTTACAGATATAGTTAGTGAAAAAAAGTTAGACTAAATGTGATTTATTACGGCAACTTTCTTTAAATCTTGAGATTATAGAGGATGAGTCATTCTACTCATCCTCCAGCGACAAATATTGAAGATTTGTTGATGAGTTGCCTAAGCAGTTGGATAATAAGCGAATAGTTAGTCACAATGGTGTGTAATAGAGGCTAGAGTGTACGTAGTTAGATAAAACTATTACGCCTTGAATCTATTTTAACTTGTTCTTTATAGTACTGTGTAAATTTTATTTTGTTTTATTTTGACAACCCCCCCCACTCACCTCTACAAGCTATAACTGCAGGTTGTAGCCTCACTTAGAACTAAAATTATTGCTGTTCTTATTGCTGCTATCTTTGGATGATTACTGAAATTCAGAAGTCTTTTATCTCAATGTGCTTTTGCAAATGAATAGAATAGAAAAGGAATTCGAAATTAAAATTATTAAAAAATAAAAAATAAAAATTCAGCCACCCTATTTTTTTTATCAGTCTGAAACAGAGATCGGCAAACATTCATCAGGGGACGTATGAGTAACGAAAATAATTTTGCGCAAAAGTTACTACCGTTGACCCTTTGACAAAGAAAAGGCTTCAAATCTTATGAAATAATCATTGTAGTCATAAATGAAATTATTAAAAGGACCGTTTACATGAGCGAAAAAAATAGGGAAGCGGCTCCGAAAAAATTTACGTGTAAAGGGTACTTCATCCCACTTCACCCAAATCCAGTTCCGTACCTGCATTTTTGTTTGTTTTTCAACGCGTATACTCGCCTTTTTTTCAGTATTTATCTCTTGGTACTGATCTTTGAGAAAAGTAGCCAACGCCACAGGCGAAACTAAACCCGGCTACTAGCCGGGCGTGGTTTGATTACATTTGTGACGCAGGCTACAACAGAGCAACGTATAAACGGTCTTGGACTTGTTCCCCGGTACATCGTGTTTTTTTTTTTAGTATCGTGCCTGTTTCTCTTGGATCCATGCATAGCACTTGTACCTGGACCTCCTCTGGAACTAGTGTTTGTTTCAACCAGAGCTGCTTCGTCTCTTTTGTCGTGTAAATAGGCTTTGAGTAACTTCGCATAAACTGCGAACAAACAGTTTGAAAACTATTCTAGGACAGGTTACCCAAACGAGGTGCCAGGTTTCAACAAAATAATGTTCTAAATCACTTCCATTTTGGCCACCGTGGATTGTTACTTTTTCATAATAACGTTATATCTTTGGTGGCTTACAGCAAGTTATCTATGACATCATTTACTTCAAAATTGTATCATCGTCATCCTACAGATCTTACTCAATATTCATTCCCGAAAGTTAGCGAAAAAAGAACCATCGAAGCGAAAAATTGACCCGTTTCAAGAGACTGAAAATTAAGTGAACATGAAAAGAACCCTCAAACGGCCCCATTTTATTTTTAACTGGCAATAAAAACCTGGAAAAACTAGCAATCTTTCCCCGGGAAACGTCTGATAAATAATTTTCATTAAAGGGTGTTATATATTAGAAATAAATAAAAGAAAGAAAGACAGAAAGAAAGAAAGAGGAAGACGACGAAAGAAATAATCATGGTAGTCATGAATTAAGCAATGAAGTTTTAAGTAACTGCGATAAATACAGTTGAAAAAAGCAAGGAATGAAAGGAATGTAGTAGGTTTCAACCCAACTGCATTCCATTTCGATGAAACCCATATGTCTGTTTAAACACTGTTTACTGTAAAAACTGAACGTCTACCACGACTACAAGTGCAGGCTAGAAATAAAATAATGTTATTACGAAAGCCCAGCTGTCCACTGATCGACTTTGTTTAAGTTTAAGGGGCCTATAGATTCATTGCAGTCTCGCTAAGTTTAATTATTTTCTTGGGAGTATTAATTGAAAAGAACTATACAACTTTTACAAAAGATGGCAATATATTCGTGATCTACATCATTTAAATTGGCAACAACAGCGAGTTTTATCAATGGCCAGAGATGTGTTCACGCACACTTCTTTTCTTAAATTAAAACTCTTCTTAAATTAAAATTTAAGCTAGGCGAGCGAGACAGTGTCGGACGTACATACTGTTGTTGCATTTTGTATGAAAAAGAGGAGATGACGCGACGGACATCCTAATAATTACCAGTTTTATTGTTTTTTATTCAGAGAGATAAAGGACAACCGCAGACGTTCACCAAGGAATGTCTGAGTATGGGGAGGAATTTCTATTAAATGTTGTTTTAGTTTTTAGTAAAGTAAAAGGTTCAAATAAAATGAAAGAATAAAGAAAAAAGGACAAATAATCATCATCGTTGTAAACGCAATCAAATGCCGAGGCAACAGCGAGAAAAAAATTTGAAAACAGGGCGGGTGATGGAAGTGCATTGTAGGCAAGTGAAACGAGGGGGAAAATTTTTGTTAAAACCATTTCTATCGTTCTTTTCTACTGTTATCTAATGTTTTCTGCGTAAAATATTACCAAGCTAGCAGTAAGTGCAGACTGGGTCCACCCCTCCAAAAGGAACAAAAGAAAATAAACAAAAAAGAACATCCTCTTAAAACACACGGCTAGGTTTAACTTAACAGCGGCTTCGTTGCTGAATAATCGGCCCCAGAGTTTCCAGAGGATCCTGTTAAGTAACCGTTACACGATTAGTAAATTAGAAATAAGTCGCAGGCCCGTAGCAGGGGGAGGGGCAGGGGGGGCGCTCGTGCCCCCCCAGAAATTTTCAGACTTGAATTAAATTCTGCTACAAAAGTGGAACTTTTCTACTAAAATGGACAGCTGTCAATGGAAGCTAAAGTTTCAAAGTATTGTCGATCATAGTAAGATTATGTACTGTTGTTCTTCTGAAATCGTACTTTTGCTCTGCCAAAAACAACCAACAGCTTTAAAATATCTGCTTTTTAAGCATCAAAATAGTCAGAAGCAAAATGGATTGAAATACACCCATGACAATCCCTGAACTTGACCTCTTGAACTTTATTGGTCTCCTAAGAGGTCCGCCAGTGTAAAATATACTACTGCACTAGAGTAAAACTTAGGTTTTTGCGTGTTTATATTGAAAGTCTTACAATGTCCTCGCAAGAGCCGCCAAAAAAGAAATCCAAACAAGGCGAAAATAAGCAGGGAACACTTTTATCGTGGGTAAAACCATGCAAATGTAGTGATCTGACATGTACCAATTAAGAAGCATGCTTTAACCGAGGGACCGAAGTGGGGGGAAGGGATGGAGTTAATGTGGGGGTTAGGGTTAGGGTTAGGGTTAGGTTTTATGCTTGCTACGGGCCTGAGTCGCTTCTGCAAGGTACAGCCTTTCAGAAAACGATACTCAAATTCTTAGTGTTTTCTAGGTTCTATCAAACAAACAAAAAAGATGAGAGTAATTTGTATACTCTTATCGGGGAAACGTTTATCAGTAATAAGAATTTTAATTAAAGACTGGCTGGCCTTGTCAAAAGAGGTGTTCTTTGAAACGTTTTGAGCTCAAACAATTGGAAAACACCAAGGAATTGAGCATTATTAAGGGCGATAATTGCCAATAAAAAGGCCTACCTTAAGTAGTAGCCACACTTTTTGCTTTACTTAGTTGTCCCTACCATCCGAAGAGAGCAAGGTGAGAAAACGGTAAGTTAGATCTAAAAGTAACCGGTTATAAAAGGATGTTTGCTTTTTAAGAGTGATATCAAGACCAGTTGAAAGAGTTTCTCCCGAATATTCTTGCAAGGTCTTACAGTTAAAGTTAGGAATCTCTGAAAAGGGAATGACGATACCAAAAAACAACCTTCCTGGCAAAGGGGCGGTAACGTTAGGAAGATGGTTTATCAATGGAAAACCAAAAGTGCCGCCTGGTTTCACTGAGAATCACTGATCAGTTGCTCCAACCCAGTTACATTTGCACCGCCGCCAGGTTAGCTCAGTTGGGACAGCACCGGTCTGCCGAGCGGGAGGTCGTGGGTTCAATCCTTAAAATTGGTTAGATCCTGCAGGCTGTGATTTGAGATCTTGTCTCAGTTAAGATGATCGCGTCATTTGGAGGTCACGTTCAGCTGTTGGCCTTGTCTGCTGACCTCATTACCCATTCCTTCTTTCATTAACTAGCCAATCCAAAAGGGACGTAAAAGTTCGAAAAGAGTAGGGGAACGTTCCCCGGTGGTGTGGTCTACCTGTCACGTATCATTCATATCATAGGCTATGGGTGGGTTACAGTCATAAATCAGTTGACTTACAGCGGCTGCCAGTGACGCCATTGTATGCTGGCGTCCGAGCGATCCGATCGATCGATCCGAGGGCGCGTCTTGTTGTCCTCTAATCCGCGACATTGCATTACATTACCACGAGTGTTGGAAAAATGCTGTAAGGCGGGTAGAGGAGAGAAGCTCAGTCTAGAACTTGAAAAATTCGTGCCTGCTTTTTTAAGATTTAAAGTATGTTGGGAAAAATTTCTCAAGGGTATTGATTATATTCAGTTCTTCGTCCTAGTGGAATCTGAGCTGCTGTATTTCTCTCCAATTTGTTTTCATCGGACATGGTGTAAGTTAATGTCTCATCAAGAGAAATAGACACGAACGGATACGTTGGAACTCAAATCTCGGGTAATAGTTTTCCTGTGGGCACACCTGTTTCGATTTTTGAGCTTACTAGGGCGTGCTAGGTGTTTGGGGCCGGAGCCGGAGGTGGGGGGGGATGGAGGAGGTTGACTGGTGTATTTTTTTATTCCCCTACCATGCCAATTAAATGCACATTTCTTCAATGCTTTTCAATAGGTATTCATCTTTATCTTACAGGTTGCAGAGAGAAATAAACATGCTGTATCAATTGTTTATCGTTTTGATAGCAGCCGGAGCTGTGCATGCGCAACTGCTGGGATATGTAAGAATTGACAATATAACTGAATAATGTACTGACTCCTCGTAACTCGACGCAGTTAAAAAAACTGAGGCCAACCTCCGTTGCCCTTCTATATTTCTATACACGTATTTTCAAATCTTACTTAAAAAATTTAAAAATTGGCGTCTGTGCAACATTACCTCACTTTAAGAGCACGAAGAGAATTAAGTAGATGTCCTAGTCCGACATAAAAAATCGGTATATTCATTCCATTGTTGATATTGCGGTTTTCTTTCTCTAGCTAGACTCGTGTATCTTAAGTTTTTTGTTTATCATTAATTCTATATATTTTGTAGTACATTTTAATTATTCATGCTTCTGATTACAATAAGTAGCCGGACTTATGATTCCATTATATGAACATTCACCACCCACATACCACCCCACCCTCCTACAATGGAAATTGCTACTTGAGTGACATTTTTGCTTTGATATCCTCGTAAAAAATACACCGAAACTCGCCATAAGTATTATAAAAGGGGCATTAACAATAATAATAATAATAATGATAATAAAGTATTTATCCAGGATAATTTCGTCCGCTTTCAATGCAGGTCCTGCTACGGATTGGTATTTATTTATGTGCGCCCAAGCTCTTTGCATTAGTGAACGTGGAATTAATTTATTAATTTTCATACACAGCAAGCTACTGGCCAAGCTTCTGCTAGAAAAAGAGATCAAAAGCAGTTTGGGGCAAACATTGGTACGTAAGGATGAACTTACTAAAACCAAGGAATTTTTCCTGTTTTTATACAGAAAGGGTTCAAAATGCCCATTGATTTAAAATAAAATTGAATTAGGAGGATTGCAAATTTCGTTTTGCAGCCACCTAGAATTCCGGAATATCTTTTGCTGCGTTCGAGATTTTAGAGTGCGTTTATCAGCCTCCGGCGTGTCTCTCCCGACATCGCTCATTCGCTGATGGCATAATACAAGAAATTCCCCGCTACCGTCTACCCTATTGTCAATGCTGAAACACTAAGAAGTTCTCAGCTTTTTTCAAGGACCCAGGTTAATTCACTTGACAACGAAGTCATCAACTCTCAATCCCTTTCCTCCTTTGAGAAAACACTAACACTAAAGACCACTAAAAAGGTCAAATTATTTAACTCTGAAAACCGATCTTAAATCTTTTCTACCCTTGACTTTACGCCATCTTGTTTCAATTGACGTAAACAGCTATAGCCCGTAGTTCGAGGAGACCAAACCTCTCATAAGCTCCTACAGTTTCTATTAGGTCTCCTTGCCACTTCTTTTTCCTACTTTATATCTTATACTGTTTGTAATTTTAATTATTGTGCGGCAAATAAACCAATAAGCATTTCTTGCAGAATTGGGACCCTTTGAATTGGATGGGCAACAAGGCGTGGAGATGAGAGGCAATAAAATGGTTGTCAGTCAGACTGGGGTATATTATGTATATGGACAGGTCCATTACATCCATCTTAACGCTAAAGGCCAACTCTACAACCGCTGCATTCTCTACGTGAACAACAAGCCTTTTCGGTTTCTTCAGAAGGGTATGGATGGACGGGCTGATATTGGCAATGTTTATTCAGGTGGGCTGATTCATCTACGATCAGGCGATACCATCAGTCTCAAGACTCAGCAGCCATCAAGAATCAACTTGGACCCCAGGGTGACCTTCTTTGGCGCTTTCAGGGTTGGGTATAATTGTGAAGAATGCAGCGTTGTCGTTCCAGACGTTAAAAGTTATTACAATAAATACTCGGGCTAGGACAACGTAGGTCGGGTTTAAAGATGTAATAGTTACTAGATAACTGAATTGAATCGTTGAGAATATCACTGTAGACAAATTAACATGTGAGTCGAATAAACTGATGTTTTAAGTATATTATCGTATTTTAGTTATTTGCTATCTAATCGTTAGCAAGGGCTTAAGCTCCTTTCTCGAGACAGCGCTATCCACCGGATAAATTACTGTCCAATGCTTTTGGCCGCGGTATAGGCCAAACCAATTGTGGTGGTCAGTGTTAAACGAGTTCATTATTGGGACTAGTGCCTCGGAGCGCAAGCGTAGCAGATGACGCGAAATGAGAAAGTGGATGCCTGCTAACTTCAGCAGAAAATAAGTAGTAAACTGGTAAAGATAAGAATTAAGTAGCAAACTACCACGCAGTCTTATCCTCTAACTTTATTGTTTTAAGTTTTATTGATCGTAAATATTTGGCAAACCCTTAACTGTGTCTCCCCTCTAAAAATGAGCATACTCCAAAATGGCTGCATGCTGCGCGAAAAAGGGAATAATTCTAAAACGATACAACATTGCAAAGCCAAGCCAAGCCAAGCCAAGAACACGGCTTGTCGGGCATCCCTATGCACGAAAACAGATTTTCTGTTATAGGGGAACAAGATCGTTTACTACCAGTAAGTCCCTAAAGTTGGCCATTATGGACATGATGGAGGGAGCTTCTCACGGTACTTAAATGAATAGACTGATTCAGTGTTAAAAACCTCTCATTCTATTCAGAACACTAAAAAAGAGGCCTATTAAAGACCACGGCCTATCAGCTTTAAACATCTAGACATTTAAAATTTGTCGAGATCAGTGATACCAAGAGATCAGTGAAATCTGAGATCAGTCAATGATAAATAGAGGATCAGTCGTGATATATAGAAAAACTTCATTGAACGCCCCTTTCCATTTGACCAAACGCTTAATGAAAAATGTGCCAAACCTCTCCGCTTCCGCCGCCCAAATCTTACGATTGAAAATTCGTGGTTTAATAAACCAGTTTAAGACTCATCTTCGCAAGAAGGCGCTCTATCAATGCTCTCATGAGTGCAATAAAATAAAAGCACCTCTATCAGGGCCTGCACGAAGAAGGCCTAATGACTACTACTTCTCCTTTAACCCTATGCCTAAGTTTAGACCACTTATATAAATCTCCTTTTCTATTTATACAAGATTTAGACATGCGAAGGACTTCTATGAGCGTCACATACGCTGGCCAGAAGTTGAAATCTGCCAGTTCACCAACAAATGATCGCTTTGAATCGAAGTTCTTTTCTCGTGTTTGTTCTTGGCCAATGAACAACTTTCCTCCCGGACCAATATTATAACCAACCTGAAAACCTGTTTTAGTATCCACCACTGACCCATCCTTGAAGATAGCCCATTGTCCTTCAGCGTTTTCCCACGCTACACAAATGTGGTGCCACTGGCCATCGTTGACTGAATTTACAATAATGTTTCTGTTGGATGTGATGTAAATAAAGAAATTAAGTTAGGTCGTATCGAAGGGAAGAGTAAGTTGGAAAAATGAACACTGGAAGAATTTTCTTTGGAAAGAGATATTAATAATAATAATAATAATAATAATAATAGTATTAATAATCAGGGCTTGTATAGACAGCCTTTCAAGGAAATCCAAGTTAGTTTTCCTTGACATCGGCAGACGTGCACCACAAGAACTCAAGGTCTCAATCTTTCATTTAAGGTTAACTGTACCTGTAAACATGTTTCTAACAATGGTATATAATAGGAAAAATTGTGAACATTAACTGCAAAGAACTACAAAGGACCGCAAACGAATAAGCCTTTGTTGTTTATTGTTTATTGTTTTGTTTGCCATAAGTTGTACAAAGGAATATCTACAGAAGATCTGATCAGCAAAATAAACCAAGTAGACACAATAATTTATATTGAACTCTGCAACGCTAATCGTACTACGTGAGAATTAACTTTTCAAGACATCGACACGACACCGATAGAACCCAAAACAGAGTGGAGTGGTAGCCAGCAACAGCTGTTTCGCCTTTATTGTAGCTCGTCAAGATGGCGTAACAACAGACAACACAGAAAATCTCTGCTGTGAAAAAAGTAATAACAAAAATAAATAAAAATTAAAATGCACTTTAGCTAAGCACGAAAGTACTAATTGGGGACACTATATTTTACGTCTCCAACTGGAGACGGGACTGCCATTTCACGTGGTCATCCGAGCCACGCGAAGGTCTAGCCTTTTGCAGTGCAAAGGAAGTACCTTCATTTCTCAGTTATTTTAAGACCCTAAGTATTGGTCCAGCCTCGAGAATCGAAACCGCGACCTCCCGCTCTGCAGTGAACACGCTCTACCGACTGAGCTAACACTGCCGCGGGTTAAATACCCACTCACTCTGTTTTAAGCCCTAACATTGAACCCTAACACCCACCAATTAACGCCATATCACGTGTTTCCGGAGGGCAAGAGTACGAGAGTTCAGTAGCCTGTTCCAGGCGTTCGGATGGTGGGGACGGCGCAAAGAAATCTGAGCAGAGAAAAAAACCAACCTCTTTTCACCTTATTTTTTTTCTCGCTCTCTTCCTTCGTGCCCACTCCACTATCCGAACCAAACGCCTGAAGCAGGCTAACAAGTGTTTCGTTGATGTGTCGCAAAGAAAATGTATGGCGGGATGGGCAAAACCAACCTTAAAAACATGGACAAAACCATGCAAAATTCACAGTATATCGGATCTATTAAAATAGATCAAAAGGTCTAGGGCCCCCCAAAAAACAAAAAGTGAACAACAACAATAATAATATTGATAATAACAATAACAATCATCATCATCATTTCAGCGTATGATCGTGTGAATATTAATGTCTCTGAGCTGTAAGGCCAACACAAATCTCCTTAATAGGGAAATGGATTCTGCGCTATTGAGTAGGAAATAGTATGAACTTTGGTCCTTCTTCCATGAAAAAAGCGAGTTGTCCATAACAGACACAACATAGGCTCTCAATGGTTTCTCATTGTCGGGTCTCACAAAACAAGGCTAGAGTTATTCGTCGGAAAATACACCTGTGCATGTATAGCAGTTAAAAAATGTTGTCTGTAAAAATGGTAACTCTTTTCTTTTATCTTTTTGGAATAGTCGGTACCCATCTCTGTTCTTTTACTCGGGCTAATGGATCATGTGATAACCTTTAATTCTTTCTCTTGGTAAGTCCTTTACATCAAAGACGTTAATTAAGTGTAGCTTAACGTTTTTAGCAGACGTCGAATAAAATATATTTCCCAGAATTTTTCTTTCTTTGGACAGTAAACCGTATTAAATTTAGGCAGATTTTTCACGGTTTACCACAGAGAAAATATATTCTCATGGTTTGGTTCAGTCAGCTTCGTTTTCAGTTTTTTTTAGAAAATAAAAACCTCTGCAAATTGTGCCTTAGCAGTCTTCTTACTTGGATTGTTCGCCAACAGTTAGCTTTAGGTAGTTGGTGTCATAGATTTCCAGCACCATTTCCTTTTTTCCTCTGGTTCCTCTGTAACTGAACACTGATATATGGTTTGATGTGGCCTTTACCCAGAAGCACACGCTTAGTTTGGTGAATTCCTGGTTTATTCGACGACCTTCAACGTAGTTTTCAACTGACTGTGGAGAGGGAAATAGCAAGCTGAAATCTGACATGGAAGAAAAAAATGTCATTTTATTGCAAGACGTTTTTTGTTGGCATTTTTAGTACTATTCTTTATTCGTCAGGGTAAAGCTTGCAAACAAAGTTATAAAGTGAATAATGAATGTCCATCCTCGTCCCCAGGGCTTTTACGTTAGAGGATAAGCGAAAGGCCTTTGTAGCGGCTGGCCACTCACCTGCGTGTGACTCATGATCGTGCACTGAAGACTCGCAAATTTCTGTTCCCTAAAAGAATTAGGAATTTCAAAAAATCATAAGTTTACACCCTTGAAATTAAATCACCGCCAGGCCCCAGTTGTTCAAAAATTGGATAGCGCTATACAGCGCATAAATCTCTATCCACTGAATAGCGCAATTGGTTTCCCTAATACTTATCCACTGGATAGCGATTTATCCGATGGATAGCGCTATCCAACGTTTGAACAACCGGAGCCAGGAGTCGACTTTGCAATTACTTTACTAGCATCTTACTGACAATAACCTGGCCATGTTAACTTTAAATCAGGATTGTTTTCAGCCATGGGCGGATTTAGGTGTGGGATGCAGGGGGCCGCGGCAATCCCTTTTCCTTTGAAATTTTGTACTATTTTTATAGAATTCCGTCTCAAAAAAATAAAAAATATCTAGAATAGAGCTGTTAAGCCGTGTCCTGACTTTCCCTTTCTGAATTTTTTGGATCCGCCCCTGTCAACCAAAACATTTTTAATGACATAGAAAAATTAAGTAGCATATTGACAAACAACGAACTCAAAACTTTAATTACAGCTGGAACATTTATATTCTTAATTTTAAAGATTGCATCATATGTTTTGAGGACGGAAAGCAAATTTCAGACCTTGAGATCGTTAATGCTATCCAAAATAGCTTTGCCATATCAGCGTTGCGGGAAATTAATTACTATACAACAATAAAATAATCTTTCTCACCCTTGTTGGCACTATCTGTTGGAATATTGCTCCAGTAGAAAACACAAGGCCTTCAGTGTTACAGGAATCTTCCAAACCACAGTCGATCATTTGACACTGGCCCAGGCCGTTTAATAAGCGAACAAAATTATATGAAGAGCAACTTGGATCATCTTGGCAAGACTGGATGCAGTTGATCCAGTCTATGTCGTATAATGAGCGGTAGACATGTCCTACTAAAGCTCGGTTTGGAACAGTTATTGGTTGAAAAGCAATAGACGATGTCCATAGTACAAGGAACGTCAAAATAAAGGACATTTTACAAGAAATTGCAAAATGGCCTTAAACGTAAGCCAAATGTATTATTTCTTCGGAACAAAACTCGGTTTTTGTCGCGAAAAAGCGAACTTGACTCAGTCGTCCGGCTTTGATCATTCTTCGGTTAAAAGTGTCAGTGCAGTTCTCAGATAGCTAATGTTAAAGGCTGCCTAAATATTTCCGATGTCGTTTAGGTGCCCGTCAAATTCTTTGATTGAGGGTATTATGATGATGATACATACAGAATACTACTGAAATACAAAATAAACAATGGACGCCACAGCGCTTTTAAAAAGGCAACTGTGTCAACCTTCATTTGCGACCGGCAAAAAGTCATTGATTAAAATTGCATGGAAGACAAATACAAACTGGGATACAGAGGGTACTTTAAGAAGTTCTCAGCATTTGATGTAGTAAATTTAGAAAATTTACAGCCTCGGTATTTATAATTCTCTGCAATTCTAGCCTTGATAGGCTGAGGCCTGACGCCGATAAAAATAAAGAATTCACTCAGGGGCACCCAACGGCAATTTTCGGGAAAATATCTGTTCGGAAGACGATTTGAGAACTAGAATTTTCGGAACATTTGTTGTAAAATTTCTTGCTTGTCTGCCTCTCCTAGGATTTTCGAACATCTACAAAATGGTATAATTACCCATTTTAAACGGATATTTACCCTAAAAAAGGCCATCTAGAATTTTCGGGAGCCTTTTACTGTCTGAAATTTTCGAAAAGGTAAGTTTTGATCCCTATAATTTTCGGATCACTAGACTTTCAGCTAGGAAATCCGAACAGATGAAAAGTTTTTAGGGGATAAAAATATGCCTATATCTACCGTTTAAATACTAAAATACGTTCAACAATGCTATGTTAAGTGGTTTTGAGCTATATCCTCGTTGGGTGCCCCTGTTCACTGATACCTGGGCATTAGAGACTTAAGAGGCCCTGCGCCTAAGAAACGACCTATGATTTCCGCCTAAAAAATAAAATCGGCCGATTTTTATCTCCCAAGTAGAGGTTACCGAATACTATTCAAAAATGAATTTCTTTTGTTTCAGTTTTGCTTTAAACCAAAATTATCGAGCCGCAAACTTTTTCCGTCTGATAGCAGCAAAATCAGGCCTAAAATATGCCCTCGCAAAAAACGGTTCAGAAATCACTATCGCAAAGAAAAATAATGAGAAAATTACATAGTGATGAAGAAAAAGGCCTTTTAATACAATATCATTCGATGAACATCGAAAAACAGCCGAAGTCAATACAAAATAAATTTTCAAATATTGCATACTTAATTAGATAGAGCGCTGCAGCTGATTTTAAAATAATTATTTCTCAAAAGTCCAACGCTGTTCAAAGCAATCACAGTGATGAATCAGACATTGGAGGGATATACATTAGGATTCTGGAAAAACATTTTTCGGCCAACGTATATTGACGTTGTACAAAGCGTTCAAAGTTACCGTGTTTACCGTTATCTTGCTACTTCGGCGAAACACTTCTCTGTTGCGAATACGGCCATGGATAGCGTGGTAAACGCCACTTTAATCCTTGCTAGGCGCTCAGAGACCATTCTAAGTAGAAGGACGTAGAATCAAAAGATAAAGGAAGATGAAAAATACGAAGAAAAAGAAAATAACTCAAAATTACCATCTGCTGATGAAACTTGAATCTGGAAAATGTCGTCGCCTCACAGCGACTATTGACGTCACTTGTCTAAACTGCGGTGGACTCTAAACGAATGCAAAAATAGGAAAACAACTTTTTCCCGGCCGGAAAGCGTTTAGTGAAACAATGTAATGCTATTTTTTCACAAGCGATGGTAACTTAAAAAGAAAAAATTCCCGAACCGCCGCACCGTTTTGGCCTCAGCGTCATCTGAACGTTGCTGGCTTCTGGCCAGCGGTCTATTGAAAGATATCTGACCCCTTTTTCTTTTTTTTTTTTTCGGGGGAGAATCAGTCCTCATGTCCAGTGTGTACCTTGAAGGAAAAAAAAGAGAGATGTTAGAGTACTGTCGCTCCCGAGAACGAGGAACATCTTGGTCGCGAAAACTGAGTTTATTACCCCCAAGAATTACGTTTATTTTTTTTTTCCTCAAAGGACTAGTATCTGGCCTGACTATAAAATGTAGCCTGAACAGATTCAATTCTTAGCACACGGATTAGCCCCGCGTTTAGTATTTTCTTGGACATCAAAATATCGGGGGTAACGCTCTTCAGTGGAATGGCGGACTGACGGAATGATGGAACGGATTGGCGGAATACACGGAATATTCTAAAATATGGAATATATGGAATACCGTAACATTCCGAAAATAAGCCTTGGGGCTTATATTTTTCAAAGGCCCTTTTGAGGTGCTTATTTTTGGCGGGGCGTATAGTCGGAGGGGCCTATGTGGGGAGGGAAATTTGCGCTATAAAATCGGTTGGGCTAGCTTGTAGTGGAAAGGAAATTTACCATTTTTGCTTTGTTTTACTTTGTATTCGAGGGCAAATTCCAAGTACAAGCCCTCCCCGGGGGGCATAAATTCGGAGGGGCTACTTAACGGACGGTTTTTTGCGCTACGATTTTGGGGGCTTTTATTTGGAGGGGCTTATTTTCGGAATTTTACGGTAGTCTACAACGCAGAATAAGAGACAAATCGTTTAAAAAGGATATACATGTAAACAGTTGACTCCAATAACTCGAACCCTCATTACCGATTCGAACCTCGTGCTAACTCGAAGTTATACTAATATTTGTTTCTCTTCACATCATTTCTATATTATTTTACCCTCAATAACTCGAACCATGTTTTAAGCGCGTGACAAGTAAAAAAATTAACTTACCGTAATGATTAGCGCCTAGGCAGCTTATTTACTTTTGATATCTCAACATGCTCAAGGGACGACGCTTATTCGGGACAGGGCACTTATTTCTTTTTGGAGAAACAACCAAATGTTTAAAAAAAACACTTAAATATTTATTTAAAAACGAACAGTCTTTGAAACTGTAACAGTAACAAATACTGCCGGCGGTGAACGCTCAGTTAACGTGAGGGACTTGCCTTGAAACTTGTTGGGCATTTGCCAATGGAACTTTCTTGCCGTATATGTAACTTTTCTTCAACAAGCTCGCAGTTAGAACAAAGTGCAAGTCAATAAAGGTTATGGATCAAGGAGACTGGAAAACGGACTTGTTGTCCCTGGATCCTTCCTCGCCAGAACGACCAGCCGAGCAATCGCCGCAAAATTTGAAGAAGAGATCATCCCTTTGAAGACTTTATGCACTCACATGGACATAAAGACCACTGTTTTTGTAATGTGGAAATACCGTTCGTTTGTGAGCTATTAAATGAAGATGCAAAAGGTTCAACAAGCAAAACAACAATTTGGCACATGCATCACGCTTTTTTGTACATTTCTTTGTCGTCACTGTAAGACTACGACGTGAAAGTGCTTAATTTCACGATGTACAGAGGAAGTAGACAAGCGAAGAGGAGATTTCCTCTCTCTTTCTGAACTTGGATATTGTTCTTAGGAATTCAACTTTAGGAGGGGTTGCCTACATTTGACAAGGTTAGTGACTTAGAGTAATCGCGATGAAGATTGAAAGAACGCGAATTCACATTTTCAGCGACGTTTTCTCTGCCTTCACCGTCCTCGGATCTTAAGGTCCCTAATATTAGAATGGGAGCGCTTATTAACAAAACACATTTGAACGGGGCGCTTATTCGAAAGGGGGGACGCTTATTGGAAGGAGGGTGCTAAAACGAATCACTGTTTTAAAGGCCATCTTGACGGTTAAGCAACCGCGTGAAAATATACAGTGATGTGTGTAATTTTTTCTCGTTCTTGCCGACTAAAATTTCCCAGGAAAAATTGCGGACAAATGTCTGGAAAATCTAAAGCAAGCGACCGGACAAATTTAGGCCCTGGTGCGACCCTCATTAATTATTAGTACAATCCTGTCAAGCTTAAGTTTACAATTCTTCTTTTTCTTTTTTTTTACAACAGCCGTTTTATGAAAATTATCCGACATTAGATTCCCGTGATACAAGACCCTTCACCCGTCAAGATGGCTTTCAAAACCGTCATAAGGTCTCTAGTGTGGCTTACGGCAGTACGAAAATTGTTTCTTTTATATCGCAAAACAACCGAGTATTCTTTGCCTCTGCTTTTTTGTCAGTCCAGTTCAAATCAAATACAGAATATTCTGTATATTCCGTGTTTTAGAGTATTCCGTATAATCCGTATTTTACAATATTCCATGTATTCCGCTATTCCCCCGAATAGGGTCACCCAACGATCGGGGAGGACATCATAAAAAAAAGACAGGAGACCGGTAGGATTTTTAAATCGATTAAAGTGCCTTACTCATCTTGCAAGTTCATTTTATAAAATGCTTCATAATTTGATTCCACAGTAATATTTACGATATTTAGATAATAACCAATGCACTACGCACAACTTGTCATATAACATTTGACAGCATACCATGCACTCAAACTCTTGCGCAGGAAAGTTACAGAATGAAATCATTTTTGCTGCACTCAGTCACATTCCTTTACAAGTTCTGAAACCTTGGCTAAAAGGTCTCTTTTTAGAGCTCTAGATTTGTAAGGTATTTCGAAATACCCGCACATGTCTTTCAGCATACTAACATTGAAAGATGAAAGCTTGTTGCTATGACGATATTGACAAAGATTGTAAACATCAAATATAATGTGGATGTTCTAAGCCCAAATTTTCTATCACCTCTTCAACAGCATGGAGGGGGAAATGGGGGCTTGCGGTATTGCGGTATAAAACTTTTTTTCAAGCGGTATTTTGGTAAATTGGATTTTCAAGTGCGGTATTGCGGTATCATTTACCCCTGCGGTATGCGTAAGGCTGTGTTTTTCATCCTTTTGCATTCGGTAAAAGAAGATCCTTCACAGTATTGCGGTACTGTTCATTGCGCTCTCCTGTCTAATGCACGTCAGTATTTTTAAGACTTTAGATTAATGGTAAATGATTACCATTACACAATTTCTGACAGATAAGCTATGATGAAATTGGTAGGGCATCCTTTTCGATCGTTGTACCGATCAATTCGAGGCCGTCTCACTTTTCCTCGCAATGGCTGAGGTTGATTGCTGGTGCATAAATGTTTGAGATAAACAAACACGCGAGACTGAATACAACTTCAAGTAAACGGGACCGAAAATAAATGCAGTATCAGTATTTCGTCAATTTTTGACACGGTATTTCGGTATTTGCCAAATTTTCTTACGGTATTAATGCCCCCCCTATAGCATGGCGTTGCTCTCCAATTTAGGTCCGCTGACCCGTAACCTCCGTTGGAATGTATGTAACGAAATACCGTGCAGCCCACATTCAAAGCACTTGGAGTGAGGCTGAATTCATCATCATTAATTGGAACAACATAAAACTGTTTCACTTCACGATTTCTGGTGATAGAAAGATTGTTTTTTTTTTACTTATATTTCACGCATTTGTTAGGATTCCGCTCCAGTTTGGACAGATGAACGCTGTCACGCGACAACATTTCCAAGGTTCAACTCGAGTAATTTCGAGTTATTTTCTTTTTCTGCGTATTTTTCATCTTCTTTTCTCTTTTAATTCTACGTCCTTCTACTTAGAATGGTCTCTGAGCGCCTAGCAAGGATTAAAGTGGCGTTTACCACGCTATCCACGGCCGTATTCGCAACAGAGAAGTGTTTCGCCGAAGTAGCAAGATAACGGTAAACACGGTAACTTTGAACGCTTTGTACAACGTCAATGTACGTTGGCCGAAAAATATTTTTCCAGAATCGTAATGTATAGCCCTCCAATGTCTGATTCATCACTGTGATTGCTTTGAACAGCGTTGAACTTTTGAGAAATAATTATTTTAAAATCAGCTGCAGCGCTCTATCTAATTAAGTGTGCAATATTTGAAAATTTATTTTGTATTGACTTCGGCTGTTTTTCGATGTTCATCGAATGATATTGTATTAAAAGGCCTTTTTCTTCATTACTATGTAGTTTTCTCATTATTTTGCTTTGCGATAGTGATTTCTGAACCGTTTTTTGCGAGGGCATATTTTAAGCCTGATTTTGCTGCTATCAGACGGAAAAAGTTTGCGGCTCGATAATTTTGGTTTAAAGCAAAACTGAAACAAAAGAAATTCATTTTTGAATAGTATTCGGTAACCTCTACTTGGGAGATAAAAATCGGCCAATTTTATTTTTTTGCCGGAAATCATCGGTCGTTTCTTAGGCGCAGGGCCTCTTAAAAGCTTTAAACTTAATTTGAACAAACCACGCTATGACATAAACCTAACACTAAAAAAATAATAAAGAAAGGTAACTTATGACAAATGAATTTTTCAGTTAAAAACCTCTTACCTCGGAAAGCAGTTTTTATCATTAGTTTTTCTTATTTTCTTATTGTCTTTAACAAGTACATAATAATTGTCTTGCCTTTGCTCAGATGATCCATTTTCAGTTATAATTGAAACAAAAATCCAAGCACCGTCAAAGATTTAACTGAAGCTGCCAAATATCAAGCAAGACTTGAAGTAAAAAAGACGATGTTTTTGCAACCGGCTGACTGCAAAAACTCTTTATGTCCTTTATTTGGGTAATACAGGTGGGTGTAGTTTTTAAGCAAGGGCCATATTTACCTTTTTGATGAAGTTAAAATTTATTCACAGATGAAGTTCTGTTGAATATTCTGTTGAATATTCTGTTGAATATCAATTCTGTTGAATATCTATTGCGAAATTCACTGGAGGTTGAATTTAACCTTCGAAGTCCCAATATCGTAAGGCACTGGCGTGGGTGGCATGAAATAAGCTGAACATCTTGTAAATTTTGTAAATCGGGCAGACTAAATGAGCCAGCAAATTACCGGGGCATCTGTTTCCCCAGCTGCCTTGGAAAATACATTGTACAAACCAACGACTCCTCGAACACGTCGTGTCCTCAAACATACTTCACAAATCACAGATTGGCCTTTTACTAAATGACCGCACAGCAGACCATGTATTTACACTTCGAACCTTTATAGAAACAACATTAAGTGGGTTTATTATCACACGGAAAAGATCTATGCCTGTTTTGTGGATTTCAAAAAAGCTTTTGACTAGGCTAAGTAAATCTACCCATCCGAGAAAATTTGGTAATCACGTGACCGTACACCGACCGAGCGCCCGTCCGTCCGTCCGCACCACGGGCATACCAATGTAGAATAACTCAATCAACATGTATGGCAACCAAGAGAGTATAAAGGGGACAGAGAAGGCATCCCCCATACATACCCTATTCCATAGGTAATTCGTCTCGAGTTATTTTTAGAATCGCGATAAAGTTACCTCGCGCGCTGCGTGGATGTTTCGTGGAGGTTTCGCATGACTAAACGTGCAAAACATGTCGGGCGAAAGGCAATGAAAGCGTAAAGAGATCGAGAGCATTTCTTTAATATTGAAGCGAAATGAGTCGGCGCTCACCTGGGAAAATTGAATCGCTCGACTCTTTGACAACCCGTGAAATCAGTTTAACTCGAAGTTATCGTAACCTCAGTGCTTAAACAAAATGAGAAATTTCACCGGTCTATTCAAACCGGTCGTTTGTACAATAAAGCAAGTAGCAAGTAATATTCATGTACATGTAATTAGTTTTACAAATTTGAATTTTATTGTAGTTTTTTTAAGTTGTTAAGAGCTGCTGATCAGTGAATGTAAATAGCGCTCTAGAAGTTATTAAATTATTATTATTATCATTATTATTATAAAGATCTACGGAGGAGCTAAAGAGGCATCAACAATCACTTAAGAGAGCAAGTGCCAAAGTGAAAATGGATAGCATTGATTCAAGCCTCTCCCCAGGCCTGCTGCGTCTGGTTAATCAATCGAGGGACAAGGGCGCAAGTTCTTGGCTGAATGCGATGCCTCTCGCAGACAAAGGTATAACCCTCAACAAGCAAGAATTCAGAGACTCGCTTCGCTTGCGTTATGACTTGCCCTTATTCGATTTACCAAGTCATTGCATATGTGGGGATAAATTCACCGTTAGTCACGCCCTCTCTTGTAAAAAGGGGGGGTTTGTAGCGCAGAGACATGACGGTGTACGGAACTTGTTAACGACATTCATCGACAAGATCTGCAATAATGTCGAAATCGAACCACGCCTCCAACCCCTGGACAACGAGCGATTTCATTTGAGGAGCGCTGTTACAAGTTCTGAGGCAAGATTGGACATCAAAGCGGGAGGTTTCTGGGCAAGAGGAGTTACGGCATTTTTTGATGTTAGAGTTACGCACGTCAACTCCAAGTGTTACCAGAGCAAGCCAACATCGGAAGTGTTCAAAGAGCAAGAAGAAGAGAAGAAGCGCAAATACCAGCAGCGGGTGTTAGATGTAGAAATGGGTTCGTTTACGCCTTTAGTGTTTGGAACCAATGGCGGAATGGGAAACGAGTGTCAGCGGTTCTTAATGCATCTCGCAGACAAGATAGCTCAGAAAGACACCGAGCCTTATCATGTTGTAATCACTTGGCTCAGGACACAGATCTCGTTTGAACTCTTAAGATCGGTACATGCATGCGTCAGAGGTTCGCGAACGCCGTTTCGTAGCAAGATAGAGCAATCATTAGACTGTAAAATAAATGTCGCTATAGTGCGGATATCTGAAATACGTGTCTACACTGGTTTAGCCGTCATTAGTATAATTCGATTGTATGATCTTGATATCTCTGCATAATGGAATTCTTAATTTTATAGAATTTTGAACTTTCATTATTGATTATATCTATTTCCTCTTCTTTTATGTAAGGTTAAGTTACTTCTATTTTTTAGAATTTGTAAATGAATAGTTTTCTCTTTCTTCACTTATTATATATAGGATTGTTTTTGTTCTCTAATGAAGGAATTGTAGATAGTGTTTTGATGAATTGATTAGATTTTTGGTAACAGCAGGTTGATTGTAAATAGGATTTTAATTGAGGTTTTGTAATAAAGATTTTACTTTTATTATTATTATTATTATTATTATTATTATTATTATAGGACGCCAAGTGTTATTTTTGTTGAATAAGAAAGACTAATGAAAGAATAAATATCAAACCAGAAATTGCTCTCTTCAAACTGTAAATTATAAATGATCCTGAGAGAATATTCAGTGTGATAAGGATTTCCCTGCTGTACTGTTAGCAAGAGAGGAAGGGGGATTCTTTTTTAATTTCCGTTTCGCTGACACAGCTTTAGCAGAAATCTCTCTTTAGTCGTTTTCGTCGACAAAACGAATAGCAATATCGCTCTCCGCGTCTTCCGCCATTTTTTTCTTCCTCAATTCGTGAAGGACGCGTGGCTCAGAGCGTGGGTCATCCACGCGGAACACATTCGTGCTACGTGATTGGCTGTTGTCTAATCAGCCTTGGGATCTGTGGTCTTAAAAATAACTCGAGACGAATTACCTATGGAATAGGGTGTGTACGGAGGATGCCTTCTCTGTCCCCTTTATCCTCTCTTGATAGCAACCCAAATGCAACTCCAGGTTGTTTTGGCGGGAAATCGCATAGCCAGCGGCGTCTTGTAATGCAGAGACAACTAAAGAGTCAATAAAGAAGAAAACGGAAAGTGGAAATTGTTTCTGTATCCATGTTGTCTAAAGTATTAAGCACAGATTAATTTCATGTCCACAAATTTGAAATACAGAGCAAGAGAAAGAGAAAAACAGAAAGAAGGCGACAGGCCAGCGAAGCTCAATGAGAAAAAGAGCAACAGAGATCTAGAGAGATAAAAAAACTAAAGAGACATTTTTTTTGTTGTTGGAAGAACAACACGAAAATTTTGTAACGGCGGTAAGTAAATGAGAAATGCTAGCGGGCCACCAATGAAAAGTGTAAATGAGCGGCAGTAAAAAGAAAGTGAACGAGAACACGGACGACATTTCCTACATAAAATGTGTAACTAGGAAGTTTCTGGAAGTGTCACGTTGTAGTCGTGCAAAACAGCAGCAAAGAAATGAACAAAAAAAGTGTGCTGCATGTGAAAAGTTGCTTTTTTGCTAATTAGACCTATTGTTGTTTTATCACCGTTATCCGGCGTTGCGTTCGCCGCTTAGCATTATACGATTTTATATTTTTTTTGAATAAACTATAAATACTGTCGAGAGCTTCGCTTTTAGCCGTGGCTAAATCTATATATTATTTCTTGTAGAGCTCAACTTGGTCGCTATCCTTTAAATATCACTATCAATCAACACGATGGTCAGAAATAGGTGTTTTTTTCTCCCACATAGGTCACAGCGACGTGAAGAATTTTCCAAATGGCATGAAACTTGGCAGGATTGTTGCTTAAGAGATACTACATTTTTTGGTGGCAGTTTGACAGTCTTGATGGACGTGGACATTGTGACGTCAAAAATAGTTTCCAAATTTGGTGCCAAAATTTAGAATTAATAAATCGTCAGAAAAATCAAATAGAGGTGTTCTGTGATCAGAGTGAAGCTTTCCATTGAAAACCCCGTAAAAATCCATTAAAACGGGACAAAGTTACAAGCTACTTTGTGACTGACAATAAAAAAAGGAATTTAAAGAATTTAATTGTTTTATTACCTTATATGGTGAAACTTTAGGGAGGTTTCCAGTTCAAGACAATAAATGGAAGTTAAAAGAAAAATAGCGGATAACACTCTGGAGAAAATTTGTAGTTTTTTGAATTTGGGACTCTATAGGTATTTTCACTTGTAATGTCATCAACACGTAAATATGACGTCAACATGGTATGAAATGACGTAACATGCAACCTGACACCCCACGTCCCAAATTTAAAGAACTACAAATTTGCTTTTATGCATGGTTCGCTTAGTTTCCTTACTGTTTCGTTTAATAAGCTGGAGTTTAAATACCTCTAAATTTTGACCATATCTGGTTAATTCCATACATTTGGCGGGAAACTTGAATTTCTTTAATTAGCTCTAACTTTGCATTTAAGTGGGGTTTTCACCAGACAGCTCCGCTTTTTTATAGATTTTATTTATAAACTTATTTAAGTCATTAATTAATTCCAAATTTTAGCGCCATGTTTCAACGTCACTTATGACGTCATGCTGTCAATCAAAAGTATAAAACTACCATCAATAGATGTGAACTTTCTTTTACTATGTTCCTGCCAAGTTTCGTCTCATTCGGAATATTTCATAATCATCTATGTGTCTCTAATGAGCCATGTGGGAGGAAAAACACCCATTTCTGACCATCCTTTAACATTGTATTTTCAGACTAAAAATGAAGAATCCTTCGTCAAGCAATCTCTTTTAATGTCCAGTTTGATTTACACTGCAATGGAAGGAGTAGCTTTCACTCTCATTTCACTAAGATATCAAATATTAACCTACCCGATTTTAATTCTGATTTGTTAGATACCGCTATAGTAAAAAACAATCTAGGTTTAAAGGTGATGTTACACGGGACGATTCGCAACGACGATTGTTAGCGCAACACAGCGTTGCAATGTTGGAACAGTGTTGTCACTATTCCAAACAATGCAGCAACAATGTTGCAATGCTGTGTTGCGCTAAAATCGTCGTTACGAATCGTCTTGAGTAACATCACCTTGATGAAACTGGAATATATATATCATATTGGCAAAACACCCTTCAACACTCTTAAAAACTAACCGTAGAGGTACTTTCGCTCGTCTTTTTTCGCCTTTCCGCGATTGAGAAAAAATCGAGAAATTAACATTCAAAGACCTGCGAATAAACATCATTAAATTGGTAGATACAATCGATAAAACTACTAGGGATAATAGGAATTGTTCAGAAAAAGATGAAGAAGTTTCATGTCCTAGGGTGGATTCAATTGTAACATACGCGTACGTATAGCTGTCGCATTTGCCAGCTGGAAGTTTATATTGTTTTGAAGCCTGAAAAAATAAAAAATTCCAGCAGTCTAATGCGACAGCTATACCCGTATGTTGCAAATGAATCTACCCTTTGTCGTTTTAAGAAGGCAAAGAAATGACGTACAAAGAAGCTTGATGGGCGTGCCAAGATGATATTTTGTTTATTATATCTAAAAGTATTGTTCTTTGTCGTTCTTGTCGTCGCCGCCGTCTTGGCTTCCCAGTTTTTCGTTCGTCTGCACTGACCGAGAGCCAGGCATAGGCTAGGCGAGGCAGTTGTTCCTTACGTATAGAGCGCTTTCACATGACGTCACGGCAGCCATATTGGTGTTCCAAAACAATGAAACGGCGGCCATATTGGTGTTCCAAACAAATCCTGCGGGAGTTGGACCCTTTTCTTAAGTAAAAAATCTTTTTTGTTCCCATAAATTTGCATAGATGCTGGCCACGTGAGTGAAAACGCTCTATACGGTCGCTACCATTTTTAAGACCTGTTATTGAGAGTGTTTCTAACAAAAAAAAAAGAAAGAAAGAAAATCGTAACCCAAGGTCGAGTCCGGTTCTTTCGAATCCTAATCTCTCTCCCTTACAACTACACTACCACACCGACCCGCCAACATTCCGAGAAATTTAGGTACATACACCAGCAAACTGTCTTCCTTGAGCGTTTCGTCAATAAAAGGTGACCCTAGCCCTTTCCATAACTTTCAATGTAAATTCAACTTGGGCTTCAACGTCACTCTTTCTAAGAGCCGTTCAAAAACGTACTATAGGCCTTATTGTAGTGTTAATATTACACCTATCTGTGACGACACTAGCCACAAAAGTGAGTCCTATCCACCGAAAAGAAACAGCAAAAACAATCTCGAGAAAACACGTACCAAAATAATACTTTAAGCATTTATTAAAACAATACTCCCAAAACTCTACAATTTTAAGATTAAGTAGATAAGCGTTTCTGTATACTAGTTCCACTGAACAATTAAAACGGGATAATTCTTCTAAATTCTAAAGACTATGCAATATTACTTTTTTTAAGCACAAAATACCAAGCAATTTTAACTACGTAATCTAGTACATTCGAACACAAGGTAATTGTTTTTTTTAGTTTACCTTGCGTATAAACACAGGAGTTCCTCGTCTTTCCTTTAATCCACTACGCCACGACTTCTTCCGATCACACCACCACTTTTTACCCGATCCAAAAACTCCAAACTCCAGTAACTCCGCCTTACTTTTATACCTTTCTCAAACTTGCTTTTATCTCCCGGTCTGCTGCTGTTCTCTGGTTCAATATGGTTTCTGCAGCCGTTCTTGGAGACGGTCACCAAAGTATTTCTCCGTCCTCCGTATTGGCGTTCCGTATTCCTACTCTGTAAAATTTTACAGCACATCCGTTTGCTGAATCAGGGACGCCTCTGCTGAAGGATTTCAGTAGTGCCTGTGCTTTAAAAGTTTCTCTCTTACTCTCTTGAACACACTCTTCGCACTGACTTTGCAGCAACGTGGCCCCTTCTTAATACCTAAGACTTCCAAATCCCAATCAAATGCAAGGTGTAGCAAATAGGAACTCTCGTGAAAAGTCTGATCTAGTAATAAACAGTTAGAACGGCTAACAATCAATAGATCCTGATTAGAAATGAATATTTTACCGAATTATTTTTGTCGAACAATAAAATTACAAACTATAACAATAAAAGTCACGTAATCGCGTCCTACGGAAAAAAGAAAATGAACCAAAAAATTGAAATATATTCTTTTGTCGCTTTACCTTCACCAAACACTAAAAAGAAGCATCCTAAGTGAGATTTGGGCAAAGATTTTTCTTCACAAGCCTTTATAGAAAGATAAAAGATGAAAATCCGAGCATTTCCGAAGACTTCACGAAAACGCTTCTAAAATGGCCGCGTGATAGGCTGGAGACTATGACGTCAATGTTGGTCCTTCAGGGCGGCAAAACGTTCTGCTCAACGTTCTGCGCATCCCTTATCGCCTGCGTTTGTTCATTCTCGTCCCCAGAGCCCGTCGTTTCTGGTTACAAATTAAGCCGAGTGGCTCTGGGGACGAGAATGGCGTTTGTTTGTGTCGTTCTGTGAGAGTTCTGACTGAGACTGAATGAAATACACGAGGTGCGAAATTTCTCTCCTTGTAAAGGCTTTTTTTTTGTTTTTGTTGTTGTTTTTTCGTCACTTGAAAATTACTTTGGATTCAGAACAACCAATGTTAGAGTGAAAACAGATCATTCCGTCAGTCTGAGGTGGAATAAAACGTTTTGCACATTTTCAAACAGGTTTGTATATTTCTGATAATGGTGCATTCGACTTGTGAGTTAATTTTGTGTCCAGTGCTTCGCCAGCTTTCGCCGGGTTGAATTAAGACCTGCTTGTATCCTGTTATTAGTAGTTATGGTTACTTTTTTTACATGCCCAGATTTATTTACCTTTGCAAAACCAGCTTTATCCTTGTCTTCAGTCAAAGAACCTTAATGCTAACGCATGCGCGTGAACAAACTTGTGCGCTTTTAAGCTTTTAAGTTTTAAAAACTTTCTCGGAACTATAGAAGGCCAGCAAGCTTACTCGAGAAGAAAAGACAAATTCGATCATTTTTCTATTGCTCAAGTAATAATAGTCAGAGTTTTTTTTCGTTCAATTTTTTCAGTTTTAATTTTATAGTTTTGTTATCTTTCTGTACGCAAATTTTCCTTTCATCATCACTCGCTGTGAAGTAGCGGAGAACGACAACTGCCGGCATTGACTCCAAAACAATCGACTCTTTTCCCGTAAACAGTTGCTGGAGCTGGATTTGACTGAAGCGAGCAAAACAAATCCTTATGTGCAGTTTTCTGTTTTTTCTAATGATTCAGTTTTTGGACCAGTTATTAAAAGTAGCTAATCTAGCTAAGTAGTCGGAATCATGGCTTGGCTGCGAAGCTTGCAACTGATCTTTTGCTTTTAAGATCTTTAGGTAGGTTGTTTCCGTACAGAAAATTCACTTCTTCTTTGTCAGCAGGTATAAGAGCCTTAAGCCTTATGTTTTTTTAAAGAAAATTTGTTATTTTGCAACCTTTTTGAAGCTTTTTTTAGTTCACTTAAGCTGGATTTTATGAATGATGGAATTGTTCTTTGCAT